GAAGTCTCATTTGTTGAAATAATGCTATTATTGGGTTAAAAAATAACATCATAATATTTTATCATAAATAATGTTTGCTAACATTTCTCTTCAATTTACGAGGCTATTTTGCCTCCGATTGGATTTCAATATTTTTTTCCTCACGAGTATTATTCATTTATCACCCACTCATTTTTTAAAGAGTGCGTTTGATTGTCAATATTTTCAATGAAAAATATGTTTTTTCCACCTAATTTCCTACTTTTGTCATGTTTAATTTACAATATTTTCTTACGGAAAGATTTTTTATTTTTCAGGTAATTCACTCTATGTTATCTCTCTCATCAACCCAACGATAAAAAAAAGTATAATATTTTTGAAATTGAAAACTAAATCAATCAAATACATTTAATTAATAATTTTCATACAAATAATTTATAGACAATTGTATTGCCTATAATTTATTTTCTTTACATTCAAATTTCATACTCGCAATCAAACACACTTGAGTAAAATTGAATGAAACTCAAAACATCAATTGCCTATAATTTATTTTTTTTCATTCAAATTTCATGCTCCCAATAAAACGCACCCTAAAAGTAAAATAAAATGAAACTCAAAAAATGTTTTTCCTCATTAATACAAGGTGGATCCAAAAGACGCTATAAAGACATCTCAATATTAAGAGCTTATTGGGGAGAGATTTTTGGGGGAATAATTGATTTTGAATAGTGTTATGGGAAATGTGTGGTTGAAAAAGAAGAAAAAATTATTGATATGATGGAAAATATTATTTTATTGAAAAATGTGTGGTTGAAAATGAAAATTGATTTACTGTATAAAAATCTAATCCCTCCCAAACAAGGCTTGAAGATATATTGCCAAGCAAATCCGACCCGAGCGTACGAATTTATTAATATGATAATCCAAGATCTCTTTTACTGTTTCTCCTCCCACCCAAAATAATAATAATAATGATAAAATTAAAAAGACTATTTGATACATTCAAATCATAAGATATTGAAAATGCCACCTGTGTTGTGACATCAGCCATATAATATTCCATGGAAAAAATATTTGATTGACAAAAAATGTGTTTCGTTAAATACTGAAAATTATAGTGGTGTCAAACAAGTCGAGCGGCTCGTCGGCTCGCCCGCTCGGCTCGTACTGTTCACGCCCACGAGCCGCTCGGGCTCGTCAAAACATGAGCCCGAGCGAGCATGTGGGCTAGA